TTATAGGACCCTTCTCAGCACAACTTGCAGGTAAAGCTTCTGTCCTCCTCACCTGGACCACATGGGGCTTCCCTTTGTGGAGCTGCTGTACCTGGCCACACATGCACTCTCCAGTAGTCAAACTGCTGCAACACCCAACAAAATACCAGCAAATCTGAGACCCTTTTGCATCCATTTCTGGCAGGTACTGGGATATGCTTAGCCTGCAGGGTGTGTCCCAAAGCCATCTGTGCTGATAATACTTGGTGGATTTTGGAAAGCAGCCTCAGCAGGTGAGTCACTGGGCTTTCCCACCTCTGCCAGCAGTGGGTGGGGGCACAGTCAGCAAGGCGCAGGTAAAACTTGCTCTGTCCTGCATTCATCTGAGGCTGTTTCCAAAACCTCATCACCTCAGCACAAATTGCTGGAAGGCCTCTTTGCTGGCTACAGCCCCTTGGCTCCCCTCCAAGCGGACAGGAACAGCTCTAATCATCTTCCTACTGGTTTGGCACCATCAGAGTGTTATTGCTGCTTCTGCATGACGGGTTTTGCCCGTGGTGGATATTCCTGCTTTAAATGCTCTCATTAAGGAGCAAGGACTTTGTGCAAGATCCTCACATGCAGCCCCAGAGCCCAGGTCCAACACCAGCCTCGGGATGGGCACAGCTGACCAGCAGCAAGGGAGGGAGCAGCTCACATTCACTATACATTCAGTCATTGGTTTATTCATCTCACCCAGGTCTGAGTATAAAAGAATTATGAGAAATGAGGCAGGAACAGAGAGTTATTTAACTAATGAAGCTGGGATGGAAATTTGAACCACAGATCAGCCAAATGAAGGCAGTGGGTGATGCCTAAAGAGACTGACCTGGAACATAGTCTAGACAATGTTAAAGGAATAAAGTAGGTATTTATTAAAAGGCCTTTAAAGGCTACACCTTGGGCAGTACAAGAGCCAGGCCGTGGCTACACTTGAGATGGACAACCAGTCACAAGTCTTCACACTTTTATAAGTTTTGGTCCATTTACATATTGGGGTTAATTGTCCAATTATAGCCTCAGGTTATGAAGTCCCATCCTCTCAGTTTGCTCTCTTCAATTTGCCATTGTTTATGTTTTTTGGGCCTGAGGCTGTTTATGTTTTTTGGGCCTGAGGCTGTCCTTAGATAAAACAATCCTTTTCCAGCTTGAGAACTAACTACCTTGTGATGAGAACTTACTAACACTTTATATGAAGTTCAGAATCACACACTAAGGCAGTATGGAATCTAAAAATTATGAAAGCTAAAACATAAGACATCATGGGTACAAAGAAGGAGCTGCCCCAAAAGGTTTAGTCAGGAGTTCTGCATCAGGGTCACAGTAAAAGCTGCACAGAATTTGCTAAGTTTGGAGCAAGAGCTGGGAAGGCAACAGAAGTGGGGTGACAAAAGGGCACAATACTTGAAATTATGCTCAGGGACACAGGGGAATTGTGGTCCAGTGCAACCAGGCAGGTGGAGGCCACATCTGTCTCAGAACAAGGGGTGGCGAACAAGCAGAATCATTGCTAAGGTTCAGTAGAAGGCTAAAACTATCACAGACAGACCCCAACAAAACTGGAAGAGAAGATCTCCAGAGAACTCAACAACCAACATATACATAGAAATACATGTATACATACATCAGTGACCAAAACATGGGAAATATGACAGAAAGGAGAAGCAGCAGAAATAAGACCCAGAGCAAGAGGTGGCCTGAAGTGGTTTATTTAAGTGATGACCAAAAGCAGTGTCCTATTGGCATCTGGAACTGGACATCTCTCTGCGAGACCAAACCTTGATGGTTTCAGATGGAAAGGCCTCACACGTCTGCTCCTGGCAGAAGGTCCCACTGGGGCTTGAGGAGGTGCTGCCTGCCTCATGAAGGCAGCTGGCACAGAGATGCAGGATGCAGCTCTGCGCCTTTATCACTGGAGTCAGATTGTTCCTCTGTGGGGTGCAGGAAAGCAGTGCTCTCCAGCCTTGCAACGAGCCGCTTCCTTTTTTCTTTTTTTAGGATCGCAATTCCTTTTCTCTTCCTCCTCCCTCTAAAAAGCGGATATTTAATAATTGTGTCGGAAGAGCTTGCTATCCTGAAGCGATGGGTGGTAGTGGTGCTGCACCTATAGTGACATCATGCTGTCCGCCTGGCCAAGTCCTCATCCCGTCAGGCTATTCAGTAAAACACAACTAATTATTCTGCCAGATCCCCGGCCAGATGACAAACTGATTCACAGCATTAACTAAAAGAAAAGAAGGAGAGGGAAATGCACCATTTCTTATGACTGAAACTACATTAACCTGTTACCCCAAGGAAAACTGTGTCCAAAGTTTTTCTTGCGGCGGCTGAGCTGTATGCCAGACAGCTGAAATGCATTTCCAGAGACCCCAGTGCTGTGCTATGGAAGTTCATCCGCAGAGCACAGCTTCCATTTGATATCCATCAGCATTCAGAGGAAAAAAAATCTTTTTCCAGAACACCTGCAGAGTATCTTTTATGTCAGAAGACCTAAAACTGCTATCAGAAACTGCTAATTAAAACTTAACAAAAGCAAATACCTGGTTTTCTAAGCTGACCTCAGGACGCTGAAAACTAAAAGTAAGACCAGGGAGACTGCTGCAAATGAAAGCTTTTACTCAATCTGTTAGTTAATTCACAAGGGAAACTTTCCTGAGTACCTCAAGAAGTCTAAAATTACATCATTATGGCAAGGGCACACCAGTATGTTGACTATTAATCATTTCCAGGAAGATGACTATCAGAAAGTCACTCTTAATAGCACTACTGCCTGGCAATAGAGGGTTCCTTGCTCTCCTCAGGGGAGGTACCTTAAATTTCCCTCCCATGAATTTCCTCTTCAAGCAAATTTCCACCCCTGCCAGAAGTCTGCAAAGCAAATGCACCGTTTCACATGTTCTCCTGACAAAAGACTGGATTCACACAATACCCTACAACTATGATTAACTCCCAAACTCTCATGAAACCATTCTTCTCTGGCAGGAGTGAGAGATACACCCTATCTAAAACAGTGAGTGCTGCTAGATTTTGCACGTTCACCTCTGCTGCAAAGACATGCAATACACCTTCTCTCACCAGATGTAACCTCAGGCAGGATGCCAAGGTTCAGCATTGCCCAAGCTTCTCTTAATGTGCTCCTTAAATGAAATAACCAAGACTTGTTCACCATACACATATGGCTATAGCATCATTCCCTTTCAAAAGCTTGGACGATGACAAAAAGAAGAGCCAGTAAAGAGGGAGAGATGAAGGGAAAGAGGACAGGAAGACAAGACTCTCATGCCTATCTTAAGCTTATGTTTGAGAGGTGAGAACTCCTCCCTCCACTACATGAAGCAACTGGGAAGAGCAAAAAAACAAAGACAAGCAAGAAGAAAAGCATACTGGAATAAAAGAGGAAGAGATATTCAGCACATAGATAAAATCACAGATGGAGTATTATTCTAGTGAGTTACAATACAGAAGAATAATAGTCTAAAGGGGAACTATGATACAGTGGGGTGAATACAGCAGTCTGTTACAGCAGCGCAGAGTCAAGTACACAAGCAAAATTCAGAGCCCTCCCAGCTACCTTTGATTCAATGAGTCTTGTGATCTGCTGCTCCATTCCTCCAAGGGTTACTGATGCAATGTGCCAGATTCCATGTTTCTTTCCAACTGTTCTGAGTCTCCTGCATCTGATCTCAAAGAAGGGAGCAGAAACAGCTGGAAGAGAGAAACCAGAATGGCATATTCCAGCAGCAACCCTTGGAAGAACAAACAATGACAGACTTGTGAGAGGTGCCACTGTACCCCTGGCACATATATTTGCATGTGGATGTGGATTCTAGAATAAACATGTCTTCTAGAATAAACACCTGTTGCTCTGGCTAGTCACAGAGCATCAGTGCATATTTGGACTCAATATGATCAGTGCAAGCTGAACAGACTGACAGTTCAACAGCACAGCCACGATCCACTGTCATGGGTGCCAAACAAGTAACACATGCTAATTTGAGCACAGTACTTCTCCTCCAGTGGTATCTTTACTTCCCGAGCAACTCCACCTACTTTACAACATATGAGCAGCTTGCAGCCCACAAGGGAACTCAGGCAAGGTCTACTCTGTTTAGGCTTTAAAGTTCCTGTAGATCTAGCTGCAGGCCAAAGGAGGAGGGCAAAACAGCAGGTGAAACAGGAGAATGAAGGAATAAGCTTCTTCAGAGAAAATTTAGGTATTTGCTGCCAAAAGGGAGGATTAGTTGTGAACATCAGGAAGTCAAGGAAGCAGAGAGCAGCAGGAGGCCACTGCAGATAATAGGGACAGTAGGAGCAAGGCTCATCAAGGCACATGAAGGGGGAGAGAAAAAGGCCTTTGCTCTTTCATATGTGCAAAGACTAGAAAGAGGGAATGAGGAGGTCAGGGAGATGGTGCTGGTGGAGGAAGGGCCACGAGGAAAAAAAAAAGCCTTTGAAAATGAACCATGGAAAAGTGATTATTAAGGGAAGAACTGCCAGGGTCGGTGTTAGGACCTCCTCATTTCCTCTAGAAAGAGGTAAGACATGGCAACTCACAGCCACATTTGGGGAAAGAAGACCAGGAGCACAGCAAGACTAAGACAGACGTCATTTAGAGGACAGAGTGTCAGACAGAGAGTTAGGATGGTTGGGAATTTCATGTAGGATAGAACAGAAAGCAAGTTTAAGGGCTCACATAATACTTCAGGCAAGACAGATCAAAAGCTCTCTTGCCAGCTTTACATCAGGAATCAAAGCAAAACTTTTGTCTGACCACAACTTCCTTATAACCAATTCCTAGAAAGCATGAGTGCACCACATCTCTCTGGGACAACATTACCACCACGAGCCCAGTCCTAGCAGTCACAGCACCACTTCTAGAGGGGTACCTCAACTCCACATCCCTTTTTTCCCCACATAAAGCTACTACCTTTTAACTGCAAATAGCACTTCCAAGTCATCCAAGGCAGTAAGAAAATGCGTACCTGGAGTATTGCAAGTCTGCCAGTCCCCTGAAGAGTTGGTTGGAGGTGTCCGGTGTCGGTAGACAAGATGTGGTTTATTGTGCTCTTCTTCATACTCCTGTTCCTCAAGTGATAGGAGTGGCTCTACAAAATAGTCCCCATCATCAGACTTGAATGTGCCTAGCTGAGAGGGACCAGAGAGGAACAGGAGGTCAGCTTTGCATGATGACAAGCCACCTAGCAGCACTACCCCACAAAGCAAGCAGCTAATGAGGGAGGTGTGCCTAGTTCTGTGGTAACCCCTGTGAAGGCAGTGGCTGGTGCTCCAGCTTCAGTCACACTGCTTGCACCCACCCTGGGCTGCACAGCCATCCCACTGGTGCTTATAGAGGGCTAATTACTAACCCACAGGCAGGGAGCATCAGAAAGGCATATCTGCCAGGCTCTGTCCTTATGCTAGTGATGTTTACCAAGCCAATCTTGCCCAAAGGGTGGATGGTGCTGCTGTGTGCTGGAGGCCCCAGTGCAACCCAATCATGTGCTGTTTTCGCAGGGCATGCTTCCCTGAGACAGGCTTTTAACCCACACATAAGGACCAGAGGAAGGTATCCAGCTAGTGAAAACCCTACTTATGAGAAGACATCAATGCTCCTAGTTGCATATAACTATGAATGCAGGTATTTGGTGGATAAATAAAATATCCAAGACAAAACATTCTGTAGCCATCCCATACCGGTATCCATGGTCAGTACCTGGGAGGAAAGCCACATACACATGTGCCCCAGCCTAGCTGAACACGTGCACCCAGAGGAACCCGCGGACTGAATGAAGCCAGCAGAAACCTCCGGGGAGCCCCTGGGATTGGCACCCCGTGGGACTGAAAGGCACCAGGACAGACAGAAGAGTCAGCCCTTTTAGGAGCTTCTGCGCATCCCGATGCCAGCATCCCTACACTGAAGGGCTGTGTACCCAGCTAGGGTACCAGGGACCGGGACATGCCCCTGGTCCCGGGCGCTGGGTGGCTGCGGGGCCAGCGCTGGGGTAAGCCCGCAGCCACCCCTCAGCGGCACCCCGGCACCCCCGGGGGCAGGCGGGGTCCGTGCTCGCGAACCCTCCTGGTGTCGGTGGGTGGCATTTTTTTCCCCAAAACCCGCGGATCACGAGCGGCGCGGGAGTAACCCCCGGTCGGATGGGCGGGAGCCGCCCGCCGCCGTGAGGGGAAGGGGCGGGCGCCATCGCTCTGCCCGCCCACCCTGCGCTGTCCCGCTCCTCCTCCTCCGCGCTTCCGCCCCTGGCCCTCAGCGGGCGGGGGTCTCACCATCCCGGAGCAGAGGCTGATAACGGCGGTCAGCCGGGGCCGGGCGTTGACGTGCCCCCGGTAGAAGCAGTGCTTCACATCGGCGTCGGCCGCCTCGGCGTAGAGGCGCCGTTGGTCTGCGGCGGGCTCTCCCAGGAGGCTGACGGTGAAGAGCGGGGCGATGAAGGCCGAGCTGGCCGTCAGGTTGAAGAGGAACTGCTGCCCGAAGGCGGACAGCCTGTAGTGTGCCTTCGGGGAGTCGGGGGCCGCCGCCGTCCAGGCGTCGGGGGCAGCACTGGTGCTCCGCCGGCGCCGCCTGAAGTGGACATCGGTGGGGAAGGGCTCACCGAACTCATTCACTCGGGTAGGAGTCACGATCTCGTACTCGCTGAGCTTCTCCAGCAGCTGGGCTGCGGGGGGACAGATGCATATTCCGCTGAGTGAGGTGGCCGAGCCCCGCGGCCCCGAGGGGCGGCAGCGCAGCGCTCCCCGCGCCCCTCCCCGAGCACCCCTTACCTTGCCTGGGGTGCAGCTTCTGCCTCCTCGCTCCCGTCCTCAAGCCGTCGGTGAAGAGCGTGGTGAGTGCCAGCGCCAGCGGCGCCAGCTGCATGGTGCTGCGCGCTGTCCTCGGACGAGCAGCTTTCTTCTTCTCCTTTTTCTTTTTCCCTCTTTTAATTTTTTTGTTTTTCCTTCCTCGCAGCCCCCCTCCCGGCCCCCGGAGCGCTGCCGCGGGAAGGCGCAGGAGCCGGGCGGCGTTAGGGGCGGGCGGGCCGGCGGCGCGCGGGGCGCCGGGGGCCGCGCATGGTGCGCGGGGGCGGACGGGCCGGGACCGGGGCCGGGGCCGGGACGGACGGGCCGGGACGGGGGAGCCGCCCGCCCGCCAGCCTGCCTGCCTGCTCTGCCTCGCTTTCCGCCTCTCCCCGCGTCGGGGTGGTGGACGCGAGCTGCCGGGACTCTCAGTTTAAAAGGGGCGTGCTCCATAGATCAAGCAGATCCCGCCCTCCTCCGCTCCCCCCCGGCTCCGCTCCTTCCAATGTGTCACTTTCTTTTTTCATTACTGGTGAAAGCCAAAGTCGCAGGTTTTGGTTAAGAAAAGCTGTCGCTGGAGCTGGACGGAGCGGGCGGGGGGAGTCCGAGCCACGGCTCCGCACACATGGGTTCGGCACCCGCTCCCCGGCGGCTCCTTCCAAAAGGCTTTAAAATCCCGGAGTAGCCCAGGCAGAGTGGCACCGGCAGCTGCCTGCTCTGCCAGGACCTGGTAGGGATCAGTCACTTTGGCACTCGCTGGCAGGAAAGCTGAGTTTTCTTACCTAATTAACGTTTTTCCTTTTTTTTTTTTTTTTTCCCTAGGCAGCTTGAAGAAGTAGACCAGCAGTTGAAGTAGAAGAATCCCCTGTGTGGCACTTACAGCAGTTGCTTTCTTCTGCATTTCTCAGATAAGAGGCAATTCAAGCAACTTTTGTTCAGGATTAGATTTGTTTTGTGTACTTTTCAGGCACCCTGAGGGAAAAGGAAGATAATATCCTTATCTGAGTTTATTTTGTTTTGTTGTACAGTTTTGAAAGGTCTCTGTAAAAATTTAAGACATCCTTTAGATCTAAATGTACTTAAGTGTTGTCTTCTACCCCTTCCTCAAATCAAACCCCCCAGCCTTGGTTTAAAAGGTTTTTAAACCTTTAAAACCCATAAGGAAGGCAAATGAGAAGTTTGGAAGTTCCGTTTGCACTTCCATAGAAAATGTCAAAGTTCTTTACATTCTTCGCTCAACTTTGGGACAAGGCACAGAAATGTTGGTATTTGCTGCAGAAAGGGAAAGTTTTGAAATAAAAATCAATTCAGAATCCACTTCTGGGCAAAATGGCACCTCCTGACTCTTCAAAACAACTGGTGGAGTCCTACAAACCTCAAATATTTAGAGTCAATTATTAATTTTTGTATGATGAATGTAAAAGAGTAAATAAAGCATCATCTACAAAGTCACGCATCTTCAACCCTGCGACTGGCTGGCCAGGGTTGCAGGGCTGGGAGGCAGAGCCTCAGCAGTGCAGGAATCTCCAGAATTGTGGAGACCCAAGTCAGCACATCCTTAGGGCAAGGTGTAATGGCACCTCCCTGCATGGCATTGTGCCCACACTTATAAACCAGGTTTAATTAAAATCTCAGATACTAACCAAGAGATAACTCACCTGGTATCTCCCTGAGCTGCAGTTTTTGCAGAGCACCCTGAGCCCTGACCACCTTCCTACAATCTCCATATGTACCCCAAAGCTTTCAGTCTTCACAGAGAGAGATACACACGGCGTGCTTGAGCTTGGGATAATGCTCCAGAAACCATAGTGAGAGATGGAAGGGTAGGCTATATCCCAAACTCAGGAGTGCCAGGAGGAGCCTGTGCTGCCATTTGGGTGTGTGGAGCAATATTGAGCAGGTGATCAGCAAAGGGGAGTGAGGAAAAGTGAACCAAGTTGCCTGAGGAAGGATAGGTGGAAAGCTCAACATAGCATTAGGGCTGAGTCAGAGGGGAGGGGAGGGGAGGAGGCTTACGTGGAGCTAGTCCTGCTGGTGTCTGGGAAAGAGGGGTGCAGCCTTCAGTCCTCTGATCAGCACAGTGTTGGGAGACAGGTCTGGTTTATCTGGGCTGCAGAGTGCCCTGGGGTGTCCCCTACTTCACAAACATCTTGCATCCCAGTGCTCTGAGCCTCAGCATCCTCCGTGCCCCGTCAGGTGCTGGTGAGAGCTGCCTTGCTTCTGTTCCGCTCACTGTCACAGGAACAGCTTTTTCCTCCTTAGTTTTCTACATGGTGACCAGTAGAAAACTAATGTGGCTCTGGGGTGGGGTTTGATGGAGCTCAGGAGCTGGTAGAGGCTGAGAAATGACAGCACATACCTGTGACTTAGTTGGGTAGGATAAATCAAACAGGATCTGAATACACTTTACTTTCTGGCACTGAGCTGAATGGAGCAAAATTGTTTTGTGATGCATCCTCACAGCCCCACCAACTGATCTAAAATCACCAACCTGAGGGAAGGCAAGAAACACAATTCCATTGCTGTCAGAAGAAGGATCCAACTCATGGGACTCCATTATGGAGAAGAGTTGGGAGTGGTCTGAAGCCTCCCAGGACCAAATCCTGGCTTTGCAGTATCACTAAACATACATTTATGCATTCCATGCAGTATTGCATGACTTACAGAGCCATTTCCATCAATATGCACAAGTTGTATGTTGTGTGGCATTTTGAATCTTTACAGCTGGAGATTGGTAAGTGCAGAATGAAAGCTGTACTGTAAGTAAATAGATTATGTGGAGCTTAGAGAAACTAAGCTGCAATCTTAAATTCAAATAACTTTCCTATTAGGAAGGATCTATTAATACTTACGGTATGGTAATTGTGCAGACTCCAAGTCCTCACCCAGTAAAAAGTAAGACTTGAGAGCTCATACCTACCCATGGAAAAATCCCCTTAAAACACTGGGAATTTTGCCTATGTAAATACTGCAGAACTTGAGCTGTAAATGCCTCTTCTATAAACTACCCAATCAGAACTTGATCACAACAGCAAAATTTCAGTAAGAAATTTAAGGCAGTGCATACTGCTGTAAGGATACACTTGAGGAACCCAGATTTCCTGAGATTTTTTCACTGCTTTTCCCCCTTGTAACCATTTCATTTTCACTATAGGTGAGGCCATCCCCAGTACTAATCTTTGTTCTTTGTGGCTCGGCCTCTCTGGGTAAGCGTCATCTTCCTTTATCTGCTGCATCCTCTTGCTTGCCCAACAATTATCCCACAAGACAGACAGTTTCCCTTTGATGGTTGCTCCTCAATGCTACAAGATATCTGAAAACAGCCAACTCTTCTCCTCCTGTCTAATCTGTGTGGTCAGAAAGTGAAATATTTCATTCCCTTCAAACAGCTGACCACCCTTTCCTGCCTCTGATTCATCTTTTAATGCTGGTAACAAGGATACCACTCTGGGCTGCCTTTCTCTTTGATTTGGAAGTTCTCATAAAGGCTTTTCATTAAAAGACATTTTTAGCAGTTGTGTCAAAGCTGGATTTTTAAGTTTTGTAAGCCTTTCACATTTGTTTGGAGGGAATGAAACTTGCAAGTTCTTGGTGTATACTTAATTTTCAAACATCCATGCCAAGCCAACTCTTTTTGATCCTTGTTAAAAGGATTTAAATACATTCATCTAGTGTAGTCCTTTAAACTCCTGCTTCCTCCTTGGGGTTCTCTTCTTACCCTATGTAGTGTGCTGCTGCCATCAAGGTTTGAATTACTTGGGTTGTTTAGGAGTTTGCTCCTCTGACCCATAGGAGGCTGGGAAGTGCTCCCTGCCATTCCCAGCAACACCAGCCCAGCACTGCTATCACTGCTGTCACAACTTGCCCTCTATGGGCCCATATCCTGGTCCCCATTTTAGGCCCAGTGACTAAGCCCTGTGCCAGGATGCTGAGGAGCCACTGATGCCATCCGCTTCCCTGAATACTGAGATATTGAGGTGACTAATTCAAGGTTACCCAGGGAAATAATACCCAAACATCCTTCATCTCCATCCTGGGTCAAACTGTGCAACTCGGACATCTTCCCAACCAGTGCATTGCAGCAGGAGCTGTGTTCTGTGGGAGCCATCTGCTCTGCACACAGGTACAAGGTGGGACACAGTGGAAATGCAGTGTAGCCCTGTCCTTGCAGATACCATCCCTGCTCTTCGTCTGGGTGGGGAATCACCATATGGGATCAGAAGGTGAAGGAGGGAATGCAAACAAGTCTGTTCCACTGCTGCACTCGCATGCAAGGAAACGCGTTCAGCTTGCCTCAGAAACTACTTTGACCCTGGAAAGCAGATACATGAGTAGGAACTAGGGACTGGGTGGGAGGAACAGCAAAGCCCACGTAGACACTGCAAATGTGTGGGATTTTCATCTTCAGGTCAGCACTGATGGACATAATGATCCCTTGAGGCTCTCTACTTGTAATTGCTGGTTCCAGCTTGCCCCTCCCCTACTCCCAGCATTGTTGCTGACTGTTCACACACTGCTCCTTTTCCTTACACCTCTTATCTGCCACGTGGAAAGTTCTCAGGGTAGCCCAGCTTCTGGGGCTCGCTGCAGCCTGGCAGATCCTTTGGCCTAATAAGCAGTTATAGATCCCATCTCCCTTTTTACTACGGGTCAACCTCCAAGAGGTCCTAAAGAAGCTAAGAAACACTTAATTCTTCCCATTTTTATGCAAATTAACTCACATCAAGCTAAACATTATATTAGTTTATCTTTTGTGTTTGCAATGCCACTTTGCAATTTCACGTGCTATAAATCAAACAGGATCTGAATACACTCTTCATGACTTTTGATATTATGTATTTATGCATCTATGCAGTTTCAGGTGCCTGTGCCAAAACATTAACAGTAATACTAGGAGGACAAAATATAGCAGATGTTCTGCAATCCCACACCAAAAGGCAACCTGGGAATGTTGGAAATTATGCAGGTACAAAAAGCTTTATCCCTCGAGCCATGCACTTTTGTTATATAAACAAATTATCATAACAGCTCTGTGAGGTGTCACCATCACCTTATGAAAAGAAGACTGAGATGATTGATTTGGCAAAGAACATGGGGTCATGAAGCTCTGACCTCATTGTAGTTCCACCCTCCCTCTCCATCTTGTATGCAGCCTAAGTATATAATGTAATATTTCAGTGCAGGGATAATTAAACTGTAAAACTCTATTTTAGGAGGGTTGTTTTCATTATTTTCCCAAATAGTAGATTGTCTCCAGAGATAACAAAATACAAATATCCAATAGAGCAGAGAAAAAGCTAAGCAACTTTATGGGTATCAAATTCTTTTTCCCTACACAGTTTGATTTCCCTTGGGGTGTAATGAGGTACCCAGCTAAAAGCAAAGACGTCTCCCTGGGGAAGTCTTTACAATGTTGTCATATTTGCATTGTGGTAGGAAGTCTCTACCAGTTATAAAACTGTCAAAAAAATTGTCAATGGCCAAAAAGCTGGGAATGTTTTAGGCCTAATCCAGTACCTGTCAAAACTCATCATCAAAACTTCCACTGACTTGGAGAAGTGCAGAATCTCTGTCATTTCCAGGAGCTATTTTACAGCATCACATCTTGCTCATTAATATCCACCTGACAAGCATATATAACATCCAGTATTTCTTTACCAAGATACAACAGCTTGAAAAAAAACATTTATTTTCTAACTTAGAAAAATGTCTGTGCTCACTAAGTTGCAGTACCAAAACTAGGGTGTTTTAAAATTCTCAGGTAGCTGAGGGTTCCCAGAACAGATGGGCACAGGGAGGGAGAAGATAATCTAATGGCAGCCCATCACTTTGTAGCAGTGCTGGTACCACATCATTACCACAGCCAGAATGTGCAACAGACCACAGCCATTGCTCCCTCATGCTAAATGATTAAGAGATGCTGCTTAAATTCTGATGCTTCAGATTTGTCAGCAGTCTCCAACTTGCAGGATATGTTGAGGAACAGGTCTCTTCTTATAGGTGCTCCTATTCTCTTGCACCCAGCTTCCTCCTTTCTTCTGAAAGCAGCATTGATAAGGAACAGACTAGAAATGCTTAGTGTTGAAGATTCAGCATATAAACACAGGACAAAAGTCCGAAAAGGGATTTGGTCTCTCCCCAACTATGCTGTGTTTGCCCTGGATGAAGCAGTGGTGAACAAATTCTACTTTCAGCCGCACACCCTGCGCTGTTTCTCACGATGGCTGTTGCTGCCTGAGTGGCTGGGCACAACTAACACAAGCTCCTTCACTCTGGTTTGTGCCTGAACTACTGCTTTGCTATCAGGTACCTACAGCCTTGGCTTTGCTACTTCACTGTCAGGCTCTGCTTTTGCAATGAAAATAGGGGACTTAACAGTAAGAATTCTTAGAAGGTAGAGTTTAGATGAGATGTTAAAAAGTGGACACAAAAGTAGCAGGATGCAGGGAGAGCAAA